AAATCTCATCGCGTATTTAAGTCATCTGCAAAGGATTCTACCTGCCACTTAATGGAAATTGTACTTCAAGGCGGACACCGCGGCTCTTCCGCCGTGATGACTTAGCCAACGACATGTGCCCTTGGCGGCCAAAGGCCCCTACTGCGGGTCGGCAAGCAGACAGCGGGCGCATGCGTAGCTTCTAGCCTGGATTCTAACTTAGAGGCGTTAAGTCATAATCCAGTGCACGGTAGCTTCGCACCACTGGCTTTTCAACCAAGCGTGATGACCAATTGTGCGAATCAACGGTTCCTCTCGTACTAGGTTGAATTACTATTGTGGCACTATCATCAGTAGGGTAAAATTAACCTGTCTCACGACGGTCTAAACCTAGCTCATGTTCCCTATTGGTGGGTGAACAATCCAACACTTGGTGAATTCTACTTCACAATGATAGGAAGAGCCGACATCGAAGGATCAAAAAGCAACATCGCTATGAATGCTTGGCTGCCACAAGCCAGTTATCCCTGTGGTAACTTTTCTGACACCTCTAGCTTCGAATTTCGAAGGTCTAATAGATTGTTAGGCCACACTTTCACGGTTCGTATTCGTACTGAAAATCAGAATCAAACGAGCTTTTACCCTTCTGTTCCACACGAGATTTTTGTTCTCATTGAGCTCATTTTAGGACACCTGCGTTATCTTTTAACAAATGTGCCGCCCCAGCCAAACTCCCCACCAGATAATGTCTTTCGCCCGGATCGGCCTGCAAGCAAGCCTTGGGTCCAAAAAGAGGGGTAGTGCCCCGCTTCCAATTCACGGAATAAGCAAAATAACGTTAAAAGTAGTGGTATTTCACTTTCGCCTTTCGGCTCCCACTTATACTACACCTCTCAAGTCATTTCACAAAGTCGGACTAGAGTCAAGCTCATTAGGGTCTTCTTTCCCTGCTGATTCTGCCAAGCCCATTCCCTTGGTTGTGGTTTCTCAGGATAGTAGATAGGGACAGTGGAAATCTCATTAATCCATTCATGCGCGTCACTAATTAGATGACGATTCATTTGGCTAGATTAAGAGAGTCATAGTTACTCCCGCCGTTTACCCGCGCTTGGTTGAATTTCTTCACTTTGACATTCAGAGCACTAGGCAGAAATCACATTGCATAAACATCCGCAGGGACCATCGCAATGCTTTGTTTTAATTAAACAGTCGGATTTTCCTTGTCCGTACCAGTTCTAAGTTGGCTGTTCGACACCCGGGGAAGGCACCCGAAGGAACCATTCCCAGTTCGTCCCCCGGCCGGCAAGCGGCGATCCGCTCTCGCCGACGAGTTCGGGACATACCCCCGTGCCCAGCCCTCAGAGCCAATCCTTTTCCCGGAGTTACGGATCCGTTTTGCCGACTTCCCTTTCCTACATTATTCCATCGATCATAGGTTGTTCACCTTGGAGACCTGATACGGTTATGAGTACGACCGGGCGTGGACGGCACTCGGTGCAGGGTGGGCAGGCTGTTAAACAGAAAAGATAACTCTTCCTGAGGCCCCCGCCGATGTCTCTGGACTTCCTAACGTTGCCGTCAATCACCACATCCCGGTTCAGGAATTTTAACCCGATTCCCTTTCGGAGTACGCGGGAAACGCGCTATCTGTCAGGGTTTTCCCGACCCTTAGGATCGACTAACCCATGTACAAGTGTCGTTCACATGAAACCTTTCCCTAATTCGGCCTTGAAAGTTCTCACTTGAATATTTGCTACTACCACCAAGATCTGCACCGACGACCGTTCCACCCAGGCTCACCCCCAAGGTTTTGCAACGACCGCCGCGCCCTCCTACTCATCGGGGCTTGGAACTTGCCTTGACGGCCGAGTGTAGGTCGTGCACTTAAGCGCCATCCATTTTTGGGGCTAGTTGATTCGGCAGGTGAATTGTTACACACTACTTAGCGGATTTAGACTTCCATGACTACCGTCCTACTGTCTTAATCTACCAACACCCTTTGTGGGATCTAGATTAGCACCCAGTTTGGCACCGTAACCCGGCTTCCGGTTCATCTCGCATCGCCAGTTCTGCTTACCAAAAATGGCCCACTTGGAGCTCTTGATTCCGTGGCGCGGCACAACAAAGCATCCACGCCGTCCTACCAATTTAAATTTTGAGAATAGGTCGAGGGCGTTGCGCCCCCAATGCCTCTAATCATTGGCTTTACCCGATAGAACTCGCATGCGAGCTCCAGCTTTCCTAAGGGAAACTTCGGAGGGAACCAGCTACTAGGCGGTTAGATTAGTCTTTCGCCCCTATACCCAAGTCAGACAAACGATTTACACGTCAGTATCACTGCGGGACTCCACCAGAGTTTCCTCTGGCTTCGCCCCACTCAGGCATAGTTCACCATCTTTTGGGTCCCGACAGGTATGCTCACACTCGAACCTTTCACAGAAGATCAAGGTCAGTCGGCGGTGAACCCCTTAGGGGGATCCCACCAATTAGCTTCCTTATGCCTTATGGGTTTACTCGCTCGTTGACTCACACACATGTCAGACTCCTTGGTCCATGTTTCAAGATGGGTCGAATGGGGAGCCTACAGGCCAGCGTCTAGAGCGCGTAGACTAACAGCAAGGGGAGCCTACCACAATCAAGGAGACAACATTCCACGAGCGTATCAAAAGCCTGGGCTTTGGGCCCCCCCCCCC